CAGCACAGGTGCCATTGTAGAACCTTGCCCATGTCACAGCCGTCACCTTGGTCACTGCCGCCCCTCCCGGCGCACTCGTCTCTGAGCGTGCTGGGCAGGTGGCAGCCATGTCCAGCACTAAGAGAGCGAGAGAGCAGGAGAGAGTAGGTGTAAGTGGGAAGAGGGAGCTGGGGGCCCCAGAACCGAAGAGGAGGAGGGGGCCCACCATGACCGTCAGGCAGCGGAGGGAGAGGAGGAAGGGAGCCCGGTTCCATCGCGCCCGGGCCAGCGCTGTGAGCGACCATGGGGAGCCCATGGAGGTGGATCCGCCTCCAGAGGAGCCCATGGAGGTGGATCCGCCTCCAGAGGAACCCATGGAGGTGGATCCGCCTGCGGCACAGCTGGCCTGGCACCACACCACCGTGCCAGGCCCCGTGTTGGCGCGGTCACAGCTCCGCCATCGCTGGTCCGGGCGCTCGGCTCCTTACCCGCTGCGCGGCCCCCGCCCCCGGCATTAGCTGGGTGGCATTGCTAACATCTGCTCCTCCTCCACCTTGTTGCTCCTCTGCGCTTCTGCGGGCCCCCGGTTCCATCTTCCCCCTGTAGGAGTTAGGTCCCACTTCTGGGCTTTGTTGTTGATTGTAGGCTTAGCTTAGTGTTAGTGTTCAGTTCAGTTTTGGCGTTAGGCATAGGTTACTGTTAGGAGTTGAGAGTTAGGCATAGGTTACTGTTAGGAGTTTAGAGTTAGGCATAGGTTACTGTTAGGAGTTTAGAGTTAGGCATAGGTTGCTGCTCGCAAGTGGCAGTAAATGCTGCTCACTCGGTAAGCCCTCCCCGAGTTCTCCTGCAGAGAAATGAGTGCGACTGCCCTGAGAAGGGAGGTTTGAGGACGTCTGCGATGAACTGAATTTCCGTCTTGGGACTTTTCTGTTGCAGAACATCGAGGCATGTGAGTGGCTGAGAAATGGAGCTGGGGCTCAGGGGAGCAATGGAGCAACGGGTGCCTGTGTCACAACCTTCCTGAGCGGCCCTTGCAAGGTAGGTGTGCCTTACTGTGAGCGTGAGCTAAGGCACTGCTGTTCAAACACAGCTGGTGGCACTGTCTGCAGCAGGTCTGCTTTCTGTTAAGCTTTGCCCTTCTTTTATGCCCACCTATCCTTTTCAGCTCCTGCTCCCCTCGCCTGCAAGTGGAGCAATGCTCAAGTTTAAGGAATCGTTTCCTCGGCAGGCGGTAAAAGACGACGCAGCTGCAAGTTTCGTGTCCTTCGTTGTTCTTGGGTCAGTAGAGCAAGGAGATGCTCAGAACAGCTCTAAGTGCGCCTGTCACAGCAGCGTGCGCGAGAGAATAACGACTCCTTCTCCCCTCTTGTAGAAAGCAGCCTCCTGGAGAGCAGGAGAGCAGCAGGCTGCCTGCTGTGTGGTGCTGAAGGGCATTTCTCCCAGCTGAGATCCCCAAGCCCACGCTGGCGGAGAACGTGCTGCGCCACGGTCTCTTCTGGGGAGCCGCTTTGCAGCTGCTCTGTGCGCTGGCTGTAATCGTGCCGGTTTCCAGGTGCCATCAGCCAGTAAGTCGTGCTCTCTGAGGCTGATAGAAAGGCACGGGCAATGGGCAGGGAGGGAACAATCTGCAGCTGTGGCCTAAGGCGCTGTGCCCCGGCACTGCTGAGAGTGCCGTCGTTTGTCCTGCCCTTCCTTCCTGATGCACGCCAAGAGCCTTGGGGTGCAAGCTCATCTGCTGCTGCTGCTGCTGCTGCTGCTGTGCTGTGTGTGCTGCCAGGCGGTGTCCAAGCCGTGCGCAGGCGCTGCCTTGCAGGAGATGGCTTTGGGTTCCAGTTCGTATGGGACTTTGGGGAAGGAGATAGAGGGGAGTTTCTGGCGTGCCCTGATGGCAGGAAGGCGGTTTCCAGTGCTGGCAGCCACAGCTGCCCGGGCGGGTGACTTGAGCTCCCCAAGCGAGCCGTCAGCCACTTGTTAGCTGTGAAGGTTCTCTGACCGTTTGTGCCTTGATTCTTGTAGGACTGGCACAGTCTTGGGACTCGGTCTGGCGAGACAGTGAAGAAAGCCAAGGCAAGTGCTGCTCTGCTGAGGAAGAAAGCCCAGAAGGAGAGCAAAAAGAACCGAGCAGGGCTTGAGCGAGAAGGCCCGCAGGACACTGGGATCAGCTGGAATGCTTCCTCGGAGGTGGCACCAAAGGCAGCACACTGAGTCAGCGTCCGGTTTTGTGGCGCGGCCGTGCTTTCCCTGTGACGGACAGGGCAGCGGAACTGAGGCACCTGGAAGGGAAGGGCTTGTGCTGCATTCCAAGCAAAGAGGGCTTGCCAGAGGCAGGTCTTCATCTATGGCAAGAGATGGAGAGGCTGTGTTCCTTCAGGCTGCGTCTCTTCAGGGCCAGGGCCGGTCTAGTGTGAGATTGAAGTACGGCTAGCCGGGCCTGGAGGGAGAGGAGCTGACGTAGCCACAGGGTCAGGCTTCTCCTCGGGTCTGCCTGGAGGCTGAATGACTCGTTGCTAAGCAGCAACCCTGGGCGCTGGGGTTTCATTGTGGGCTGTGTTGATAGAAATACAACCCAGAGCCTTTTGCGCTGAATAAAAGCGAAACCAACTTTTTCCACACGGTGCTGCCTCTTTCCGTAGCTGGTCAAAAGGTCCCGTGCTTGGGCTGGCAATCGCGGGGCCGTGAACCGCTCGGCTCTGCCCTGAAATTCTGCTGGTTTTCCCCCGTTTCCTTGTTGGTCTTCCCAACGGGTGGCCTTTCAGCCCCCCCGTAGCTGCTGGCCACAGGCTGTGAGCCTGCCCTTGCTCTCCAAGGACCGCTAGCAAAAGCACGAAGGAGGGGAAGCGGCCCGGGAGGAAGAAAGGCGTCCCTGCGCTCAGCCCCTGGAGCTTGCCTCTCTTCCTGGTGGCTTTTTCAGCCCTGGGCTGTGCTGAGGGTTGCTGTTTGCCCCGGGAAGCCCAGCTGCAGGCGGGCAGCCGTGGCCTGCGCGTCAGCCTGGCGTTGGGGCACGAGGAGTGGAGGTGTGGGTGGGATGGTGTGAAGAGCAGCGCTGGGAGCGGGGAGGAGGAGAGGGCAGCGGGTGGGCGGCAGGTGAATGTGCCTCGGAGCAGAGCTCAGCCTCGAGCTTGGAGGACACTGAGCCGTGCTGCGCTGCTGCAGCTCCAGTGGCTTCAGGCGCGTTACGGCAGCGCCGCGTGTTGTGCCAGGGCGCTTTGCTGAGCCATGAGGGGCGACTGCTTTGCCAAGTGTTTTCCTGTCGCTCCTTGGAGTTTCTGCCTTTGAAGTACTGCACGATGATGTGCTGTTTCAACTGCTCCTCGTACCTCTGCATCACCTGCAGACTGTGCTGCCAGGGCCCTGCTGGAGGGGTGGAGCGTTGCTGGTGCTGGGTAGAGGCCAAGGCACCTTTCTCTCAACTGGCTTCCAGCTGAGCTTTTTGCCAGTTCTCGCAGCCCTCTCTGTCTGGCCCTTGGGGTAGTTTTGTGCCCACCTCGTAGCCCTCTTTTTTAGCTGGTATGTCATCAACTTGCCTATGAGGCTGTGGTGAGAGAGAGTGAGGAAAGCCTTCTTGAGGTGGAGAGAAACAGAACTCACGGGTGTTTTCTTTCCCACCAAACTTCCCCGCCCCTCCCCCCCGTAGAAAGCTGTCACATTGGTACCCAGTGGTTTCCCCTTTGTTCTCTGTCACCCTTTTCCTCCCCGAGTCCGGGGACGACTCCTGTTTTGTTTGTATGTATGAAGCATGATGTAGCGATGTAGAATAAGGGGGGGAAAACGTCATGGTTGTATGCTTTGGCTTATCAGCATTCCACACCACCACATCATGTCATGCGCTGGGGGTTTGACTGCTGATGCTCAAGTTGCGGGTGCCTGTCCGGAGGAGAAGAAGAACCACATTTCCCCAGGGGGCTTTGCGCTCAGCAAGGACACACAGCTCCTGGCCAAGTCCCCTGATGTTCTCGTCTTTGCCTGCGCTTCTCCGCCTGCTTTTCTTCCTGGGCTCAACTGGACCGCAGCTCTCGCCTCAGCGCTGTGCTGAGGCCTATCCACCTTTCAGACACTCTCTCTCTCTCTCTCTCCCTCTCTGATTCTATTTTGCTGATACCATATTTAGGAAATTAGTTTGTTGCACCTCAGATCGTTGCCACTGTTTTTAATCATTTTGGGATCCCCTGTTTCCCTTTTGCGGACCCGCGGATCCCTCCGCCCCGCTGGTCATGGAACCGGGCCGAAGCAGCCCATCAACCGCTGACATGGAGGCATCTCCCCTTCAGAGCTGGATAGAGAGCGTGGAGAGAAAGAAAAGGGAAGGGAGGGGAGAGGAGGAGAGGGGAATGGAGGGGAAGGAAGGAAGAAAGGGAAGGAAAAGGGAATTGTGAAGGGGAAGAGAAGGAAGAGAAAAGGACAGGAAAAGGCAAGAGAAGAAAGGAATAGAAAGAAAAAAGGACAGAGAAGAGAAAGAAAGAAAAGGGAAAGGGAAAGGGGGAGGAAGGAGAAGGAGAGAAGGAGAAAAGTGGCACGGGTCCGGCGCCATCCGAGAGGAATCCGGCAGGCGCCCCGCTCCGCCCCCAGGCCGCCCTTAGCAACGTGACGCCGCAGGCGGATGCTAAGGCCCGGGCCGGAAGTGCTTCCTGCCGGCGGAGAGCACTTCCGGCGCGGCGCGGCGCGGCGGAGTGAGGGCGGTGAGCGGGGCCGGGAGGCGCGGGCTCCGTGCCGGGCCTCGGCGCGGAGGCATCGAGGGGCTGTCGGGGGAGGAGCTCGCGGCGCCGCCGGCAGCCAGAGGCGGGTCCCGGCTCGCGGCTTTGCGGGCCGCGCGGCCTCGCGAGGGCTGCGAGTGCCGGAGCGCAGCCCGGGGCGAGCGGGGCGGCTCCCGGGCGGCGGCAGCGCCGCGCTCCGTCGCGCGGTGGAAGCCGTCGCGCTGCGATCCGGTGCCGTCGCTCTTCGTTTGGCCGTGGCGGGGAAGCCGGCGTCTCGCTCGCTCTCGCGGAGCGTCGTTTGTGTGGCGGCGGTCCTTGGAGATGGCGGCGGGGAAGCGCGGGGCTCCGTCCGGATGGCGAGTTTGGCTTTTGGCCTCGCTCGGTGGAGTTTTGCTTTCGGCCCGGAGTGCGCCGGCAGGAGGCTGTGGGTGGCGGGGCCTGATGGTGCGGCAAGGATGGCGACGGGCTCGTGTGGCTGCGGCGTCGGCCGGCCGGAAAAGCGTGGCTGGAGGCTGATTCCTTTTCTGATTGCCTTTTGTGATGCGTTGTCGTGCGTTGGTGTTTCAGGTGTGTGAATGAGGACTCCCCGCTGGAATTTGTGCCGAGCAAAGCTGGACGAGGAGTGGATCCACGCGCCTGGTGCTCTGTTTGAGTGCGGGAGGAGCGGGCACGGCTGAAGGTTTGTCGCTGGCTGTGGATGTGAGGGAGCGGGACGAGTGCGGGCTGAAGTTGTGTGTGATTGTGTTTGTTGGTTGGGAAGGGCTGCCCTGAGAGATGGGTGGAAAATCAGGGATTTCTGGGAGAAAAGCCCGGATTTAGTGGAAAAACAGTTATTTTTGGGAGAAAAAGCCATATTTAAGGGGAAAAGCCCCAGGTTTAATGGGAAAAGCAGGGATTTCTAGCAGAAAATGCCATATTGAATGGAAAAGCAGGGATTTCTAGGGGAAAAAGCCATCTTTAATGGGAAGATCCCCATATTGAAGGGGCAAAACATGGATTTCTGGCAGAAAAAGCCATGTTTAATGGGAAGAACCCCCGATTTAAAGAGCAAAACAGGGATTTCTCAGAGGAAAAGCCATATTTTAGGGTAAAAACTGCAGATTTCAGGGGCAAAACAGGTATTTCTGTGAGAACACCCCAGATTTCAGGGGAAAACCCCCAGATTTAAAGGAAAACCAGGGATTTCTGTGTGAAAAGCCCAGATTTAAGAGCAAAAACTGCAGATTTAAGGGGAAAACAGGGATTTCTGTGAGAAAAGCCCAGATTTAATGGGAAAAACAGGGATTTCTGTGAGAAAAGGCCATATTTAAGATCAAAAACTGCAGATTGAAGGGGAAAACAGGGATTTCTGTGAGAAAAAGCCATATTTCAGGGGAAAAACTCCAGATTTAATAGGAAATAAGGGATTTCTAGCAGAAAATGCCATATTTAATGGAAAAGCAGGGATTCCTAGTAGAAAAAGCCATATTTCAGGGGAAACCCTGCAGCTTGAAGGAGAATAGCCAGGGATTTCTGTCAGAAAAAGCCATATTTAAGGGGAAAAACCCCAGATTTAATTGGAATAACAGCGATTTCTGTGAGAAAACGCCAGATTTATTGGGAAAACCAGGGATTTCTAGGAGGAAAAGCCATATTTAAGGTGAAAAACAGGGATTTCTAGGGGAAAAAGCCATATTGAATGGGGAAAACCCCATATTGACGGGGAAAAACATGGATTTCTGGCAGAAAAAGCCACGTTTAATGGGAAGAACCCCCGATTTAAGGGGCAAAACAGGGATTTCTCGGAGGAAAAGCCATATTTTAGGGTAAAAACTGCAGATTTAAGGGGCAAAACAGGTATTTCTGTGAGAACACCCCAGATTTCAGGGGAAAAACCCCAGATTTAATAGAAAACCAGGGATTTCTGTGAGAAAAGCCCAGATGTAATGGGAAAAACAAGGATTTCTAGCAGAAAAAGCCATATGTAAGTGGAAAAGGCCATATTTCAGGGGTAAAACAGGGATTCTTTGGGAGATAAAACCATATTGAAGGGGAAAAGCCCCCGGTGTAATGGGAAAAACAGGGATTTCTGTGAGCAAACCCCCGATTTCAGGGGAAGAACCCCAGATGTAATGGAAAAGCAGGGATTTCTGGCAGAAGAAGCCATATTTAAGGGCAAAAACTGCAGATTTCAGGGGAAAAACAGGGATTTCTGTGAGAAAAGGCCAGATTTCAAGGCAAAAACCCCAGATTTAATAGGAAATAAGGGATTTCTAGCAGAAAATGCCATATTTAATGGAAAAGCAGGGCTTCCTAGTAGAAAAAGCCATATTTCAGGGGAAAACCTGCAGCTTGAAGGAGAAAAACAGGTTTTTCTGTCAGAAAAAGCCATATTTAAGGGGAAAAACCCCAGATTTAATGGGAATAACAGGGATTTCTAGCAGAAAAATCCATATGTAAGTGGAAAACACCATATTTAAGGGGTAAAACAGGGATTTTTTGGGAGAAAAACCATATAGAGGGGGAAAAGCCCCCTGTGTAATGGGAAAAAACAGGGATTTCTGTGAGCAAACCCCCGGTTTAAGGGGAAAACCCCATATTTAAGGGGAAAAACATGGATTTCTGGCAGAAAAAGCCATGTTTAATGGGAAGAACCCCCGATTTAAGGGGCAAAACAGGGATTTCTCAGAGGAAAAGCCATATTATAGGGTAAAAACTGCAGATTTAAGGGGCAAAACAGGTATTTCTGTGAGAACACCCCAGATTTCAGGGGAAAACCCCCAGATTTAATAGAAAACCAGGGATTTCTGTGAGAAAAGCCCAGATTTAAGGGCAAAAACAGGGATTTCTAGGAGGAAATGCCATATTTAAGGGCAAAAACAACAGATTTAAGGGGAAAAGTAGGGATTTCTGTGAGCAAACCCCAGATTTAAGGGGCAAAACAGGGATTTCTAGGAGGAAAGGCCATATGTACTGGTAAAAACCTAAGGTTTAAGAGTAAAAACGAGGATTTCTGGCAGAAAAATCTATACTTAATGGGAAAAAGCCCAGATTGAAAGAGAAAACCAGGGATTTCTAGCAGGAAAAGCCGTACTTAAGGGGAAATAAACCCAGATTTAAAGGGGAAAGCAGGGATTTCTGTCAGAAAAAGCCATACTTAAGGGGAAAAACCCCATATTTAAGGTAGAAAACAGGGATTTCTGTGAGAAAAGCCCAGATGTAATGGGAAAAACAAGGATTTCTAGCAGAAAAAGCCACATGTAAGTGGAAAAGGCCATATTTCAGGGGTAAAACAGGGATTCTTTGGGAGATAAAACCATATTGAAGGGGAAAAGCCCCCGGTGTAATGGGAAAAACAGGGATTTCTGTGAGCAAACCCCAGATTTCAGGGGAAGAACCCCAGATTTAATGGAAAAGCAGGGATTTCTGGCAGAAGAAGCCATATTTAAGGGCAAAATCTGCAGATTTCAGGGGAAAAACAGGGATTTCTGTGAGAAAAGGCCAGATTTCAAGGCAAAAACCCCAGATTTAATAGGAAATAAGGGATTTCTAGCAGAAAAAGCCATATTTAATGGAAAAGCAGGGCTTCCTAGTAGAAAAAGCCATATTTCAGGGGAAAACCTGCAGCTTGAAGGAGAAAAACAGGGTTTTCTGTCAGAAAAAGCCATATTTAAGGGGAAAATCCCCAGATTTAATGGGAATAACAGGGATTTCTAGGAGGACAAGCCATCTTTAAGGGGAAAAACCCCAGGTTTAATAGGAAATAAGGGATTTCTAGCAGAAAAAGCCATATGTAAGTGGAAAACTCCATATTTAAGGGGTAAAACAAGGATTTTTTGGGAGAAAAAACCAAATTGAAGGGGAAAAGCCCCCGGTGTAATGGGAAAAGCAGGGATTTCTGTGAGCAAACCCCAGATTTCAGGGGAAGAACCCCAGATTTAATGGGAAAAGCAGGGATTTCTGGCAGAAGAAGCCATATTTAAGGGCAAAATCTGCCGATTTCAGGGGAAAAACAGGGATTTCTGTGAGAAAAGGCCAGATTTAGTGGAAAAGCAGTTATTTTGGGGAGAAAAAGCCATATTTAAGGGGAAAAACCCCAGATGTAATGGGAAAAGCAGGGATTTCTGGCAGAAGAAGCCATATTTAAGGTGAAAAACAGGGATTTCTAGGGGAAAAAGCCATATTTAATGGGGAAAACCCCATATTTAAGGGGAAAAACATGGATTTCTGGCAGAAAAAGCCATGTTTAATGGGAAGAACCCCCGATTTAAGGGGCAAAACAGGGATTTCTCGGAGGAAAAGCCGTATTTTAGGGTAAAAACTGCAGATTTCAGGGGCAAAACAGGTATTTCTGTGAGAACACCCCAGATTTCAGGGGAAAAACCCCAGATTTAATAGAAAACCAGGGATTTCTGTGAGAAAAGCCCAGATTTAAGGGCAAAAACAGGGATTTCTAGGAGGAAATGCCATATTTAAGGGCAAAAACAGCAGTTTTAAGGGGAAAAGCAGGGATTTCTGTGAGAAAAGCCAGATGTAATGGGAAAAACAAGGATTTCTAGCAGAAAAAGCCATATGTAAGTGGAAAGCTCCATATTTCAGGGGGTAAAACAGGGATTCTTTGGGAGATAAAACCATATTGAAGGGGAAAAGCCCCCGGTGCAATGGGAAAAACAGGGATTTCTGTGAGCAAACCCCAGATTTCAGGGGAAGAACCCCAGATTTAATGGGAAAAGCAGGGATTTCTGGCAGAAGAAGGCATATTTAAGAGCAAAATCTGCAGATTTCAGGGGAAAAACAGGGATTTCTGTGAGAAAAAGCCATATTTCAGGGTAAAAACCCCAGTTTTAATAGGAAATAAGGGATTTCTAGCAGAAAATGCCATATTTAATGGAAAAGCTGGGCTTCCTAGTAGAAAAAGCCATATTTGAGGGGAAACCCTGCAGCTTGAAGGAGAAAAGCCAGGGATTTCTGTCAGAAAAAGCCATATTTAAGGGGAAAAACCCCAGATTTAATGGGAAAAGCAGGGATTTCTAGGAGGAAAAGCCATATTTAAGGTGAAAAGCAGGGATTTCTAGGGAAAAAGCCTTACTTTAGCGGAAAAACCCCATATTTAAGGTAGAAAACAGGGATTTCTGTGAGAAAAGCCCAGATGTAATGGGAAAAACAAGGATTTCTAGCAGAAAAAGCCACATGTAAGTGGAAAAGGCCATATTTCAGGGGTAAAACAGGGATTCTTTGGGAGATAAAACCATATTGAAGGGGAAAAGCCCCCGGTGTAATGGGAAAAACAGGGATTTCTGTGAGCAAACCCCAGATTTCAGGGGAAGAACCCCAGATTTAATGGAAAAGCAGGGATTTCTGGCAGAAGAAGCCATATTTAAGGGCAAAATCTGCAGATTTCAGGGGAAAAACAGGGATTTCTGTGAGAAAAGGCCACATTTCAGGGGAAAAACCCCAGATTTAATAGGAAATAAGGGATTTCTAGCAGAAAATGCCATATTTATTGGAAAAGCAGGGCTTCCTAGTAGAAAAAGCCATATTTCGGGGGAAAACCTGCAGCTTGAAGGAGAAAAACAGGTTTTTCTGTCAGAAAAAGCCATATTTAAGGGGAAAAACCCCAGATTTAATGGGAAAACAGGGATTACTAGCAGAAGAAGCCATATTTAAGGGCAAAATCTGCAGATTTCAGGGGAAAAGCAGTTATTTTGGGGAGAAAATGGCATATTTAAGGAGAAAAGCCCCAGATTTAATTGGAAATAAGGGATTTCTAGCAGAAAAAGCCATATTTAATGGAAAAGCAGGGCTTCCTAGTAGAAAAAGCCATATTTCAGGGGAAAACCTGCAGCTTGAAGGAGAAAAGCCAGGGATTTCTGTCAGAAAAAGCCATATTTAAGAGGAAAAACCCCAGATTTAATGGGAATAACAGGGATTTCTAGGAGGAAAAGCCATATTTAAGGTGAAAAACAGGGATTTCTAGGGGAAAAACCCGTATTTAATGGGGAAAACCCTATATTTAAGGGGAAAAACATGGATTTCTGGCAGAAAAAGCCATGTTTAATGGGAAGAACCCCCGATTTAAGGGGCAAAACAGGGATTTCTGGGAGGAAAAGCCATATTATAGGGTAAAAACTCCAGATTTAAGGGTCAGAACAGGTATTTCTGTGAGAACACCCCAGATTTCAGGGGAAAACCCCCAGATTTAAAGGAAAACCAGGGATTTCTGTGAGAAAAGCCCAGATTTAAGGGCAAAAACAGGGATTTCTGTGAGAAAAGCCCAGATTTGATGGATAACCAGGGATTTCTAGGAGGAAATGCCATATTTAAGGGGAAAAGCCCCAGATGTAATGGGAAAAGCAGGGATTTCTGTGAGAAAAAGCCGTATTTCAGGGGAAAAACCCCAGATTTAATAGGAAATAAGGGATTTCTAGCAGAAAATGCCATATTGAATGGAAAAGCAGGGATTCCTAGTAGAAAAAGCCATATTTCAGGGGAAAACCTGCAGCTTGAAGGAGAAAAGCCAGGGATTTCTGTCAGAAAAAGCCATATTTAAGAGGAAAAACCCCAGATTTAATGGGAATAACAGGGATTTCTGTGAGAAAACGCCAGATTTAATGGGAAAAACAGGGATTTCTAGGAGGAAAAGCCATATTTAAGGTGAAAAACAGGGATTTCTAGGGGAAAAAGCCATATTTAATGGGGAAAACCCCATATTGAAGGGGAAAAACCTGGATTTCTGGCAGAAAAAGCCATGTTTAACGGGAAGAACCCCCGATTTAAGGGGCAAAACAGGGATTTCTCGGAGGAAAAGCCTTATTTTAGGGTAAAAACTGCAGATTTAAGGGGCAAAACAGGTATTTCTGTGAGAACACCCCAGATTTCAGGGGAAAAACCCCAGATTTAATAGAAAACCAGGGATTTCTGTGAGAAAAGCCCAGATTTGATGGATAACCAGGGATTTCTGTGAGAAAATGCCATATTTAAGGGCAAAAACAGCAGATTTAAGGGGAAAAGCAGGGATTTCTGTGAGCAAACCCCAGATTTAAGGGGCAAAACGGGGATTTCTAGGAGGAAACGCCATATGTACTGGTAAAAACCTAAGGTTTAAGAGTAAAACCGAGGATTTCTGGCAGAAAAATCTATACTTAATGGGAAAAAGCCCAGATTGAAAGAGAAAACCAGGGATTTCTAGCAGGAAAAGCTGTATTTAAGGGGAAATAAACCCAGATTTAAAGGGGAAAACAGGGATTTCTGTCAGAAAAAGCCATACTTAAGGGGAAAAACCCCATATTTAAGGTAGAAAACAGGGATTTCTGTGAGAAAAGCCCAGATGTAATGGGAAAAACAAGGATTTCTAGCAGAAAAAGCCACATGTAAGTGGAAAAGGCCATATTTCAGGGGTAAAACAGGGATTCTTTGGGAGATAAAACCATATTGAAGGGGAAAAGCCCCCGGTGTAATGGGAAAAACAGGGATTTCTGTGAGCAAACCCCAGATTTCAGGGGAAGAACCCCAGATTTAATGGAAAAGCAGGGATTTCTGGCAGAAGAAGCCATATTTAAGGGCAAAATCTGCAGATTTCAGGGGAAAAACAGGGATTTCTGTGAGAAAAGGCCACATTTCAGGGGAAAAACCCCAGATTTAATAGGAAATAAGGGATTTCTAGCAGAGAAAATGCCATATTTAATGGAAAAGCAGGGCTTCCTAGTAGAAAAAGCCATATTTCAGGGGAAAACCTGCAGCTTGAAGGAGAAAAGCCAGGGATTTCTGTCAGAAAAAGCCATATTTAAGAGGAAAAACCCCAGATTTAATGGGAATAACAGGGATTTCTGTGAGGAAAACCCCAGATTTAATGGGAAAAGCAGGGATTTCTAGGAGGAAAAGCCATATTTAAGGTGAAAAACAGGGATTTCTAGGGGAAAAAGCCATATTTAATGAGGAAAACCCCATATTTCAGGGGCAAAACATGGATTTCTGGGAGGAAAAGCCATATTTAAGGGGTAAAAACTGCAGTTTTAAGGGGAAAACAGGAATTTCTGTGAGAAAAAGCCATATTTCAGGGGAAAAACCCCAGATTTAATAGGAAATAAGGGATTTCTAGCAGAAAATGCCATATTTAATGGAAAAGCAGGGATTCCTAGTAGAAAAAGCCATATTTCAGGGGAAAACCTGCAGCTTGAAGGAGAAAAGCCAGGGATTTCTGTCAGAAAAAGCCATATTTAAGGGGAAAAACCCCAGTTTTAATGGGAATAACAGCGATTTCTGTGAGAAAACCCCAGATTTAATGGGAAAAACAGGGATTTCTAGGAGGAAAAGCCATATTTAAGGTGAAAAACAGGGATTTCTAGGGGAAAAAGCCATATTTAATGGGGAAAACCCCATATTTAAGGGGAAAAACCTGGATTTCTGGCAGAAAAAGCCATGTTTAACGGGAAGAACCCCCGATTTAAGGGGCAAAACAGGGATTTCTCGGAGGAAAAGCCTTATTTTAGGGTAAAAACTGCAGATTTAAGGGTCAGAACAGGTATTTCTGTGAGAACACCCCAGATTTCAGGGGAAAACCCCCAGATTTAATAGAAAACCAGGGATTTCTGTGAGAAAAGCCCAGATTTAAGGGCAAAACCAGGGATTTCTAGGAGGAAATGCCATATTTAAGGGCAAAAACAGCAGATTTAAGGGGAAAAGCAGGGATTTCTGTGAGCAAACCCCAGATTTAAGGGGCAAAACGGGGATTTCTAGGAGGAAACGCCATATGTACTGGTAAAAACCTAAGGTTTAAGAGTAAAAACGAGGATTTCTGGCAGAAAAATCTATACTTAATGGGAAAAAGCCCAGATTGAAAGAGAAAACCAGGGATTTCTAGCAGGAAAAGCTGTATTTAAGGGGAAATAAACCCAGATTTAAAGGGGAAAACAGGGATTTCTGTCAGAAAAAGCCATACTTAAGGGGAAAAACCCCATATTTAAGGTAGAAAACAGGGATTTCTGTGAGAAAAGCCCAGATGTAATGGGAAAAACAAGGATTTCTAGCAGAAAAAGCCACATGTAAGTGGAAAAGGCCATATTTCAGGGGTAAAACAGGGATTCTTTGGGAGATAAAACCATATTGAAGGGGAAAAGCCCCCGGTGTAATGGGAAAAACAGGGATTTCTGTGAGCAAACCCCAGATTTCAGGGGAAGAACCCGAGATTTAATGGAAAAGCAGGGATTTCTGGCAGAAGAAGCCATATTTAAGGGCAAAATCTGCAGATTTCAGGGGAAAAACAGGGATTTCTGTGAGAAAAGGCCACATTTCAGGGGAAAAACCCCAGATTTAATAGGAAATAAGGGATTTCTAGCAGAAAATGCCATATTTAATGGAAAAGCAGGGAGTCCTAGTAGAAAAAGCCATATTTCAGGGGAAAACCTGCAGCTTGAAGGAGAAAAGCCAGGGATTTCTGTCAGAAAAAGCCATATTTAAGAGGAAAAACCCCAGATTTAATGGGAATAACAGGGATTTCTGTGAGGAAAACCCCAGATTTAATGGGAAAAGCAGGGATTTCTAGGAGGAAAAGCCATATTTAAGGTGAAAAACAGGGATTTCTAGGGGAAAAAGCCATATTTAATGGGGAAAACCCCATATTGAAGGGGAAAAACATGGATTTCTGGCAGAAAAAGCCACGTTTAATGGGAAGAACCCCCGATTTAAGGGGCAAAACAGGGATTTCTCGGAGGAAAAGCCTTATTTTAGGGTAAAAACTGCAGATTTAAGGGGCAAAACAGGTATTTCTGTGAGAACACCCCAGATTTCAGGGGAAAACCCCCAGATTTAATAGAAAACCAGGGATTTCTGTGAGAAAAGCCCAGATTTAAGGGCAAACACAGGGATTTCTGTGAGAAAAGCCCAGATTTAAGGGCAAAAACAGGGATTTCTAGGAGGAAATGCCATATTTAAGGGCAAAAACAGCAGATTTAAGGGGAAAAGCAGGGATTTCTGTGAGCAAACCCCAGATTTAAGGGGCAAAACGGGGATTTCTAGGAGGAAACGCCATATGTACTGGTAAAAACCTAAGGTTTAAGAGTAAAACCGAGGATTTCTGGCAGAAAAATCTATACTTAATGGGAAAAAGCCCAGATTGAAAGAGAAAACCAGGGATTTCTAGCAGGAAAAGCTGTATTTAAGGGGAAATAAACCCAGATTTAAAGGGGAAAACAGGGATTTCTGTCAGAAAAAGCCATACTTAAGGGGAAAAACCCCATATTTAAGGTAGAAAACAGGGATTTCTGTGAGAAAAGCCCAGATGTAATGGGAAAAACAAGGATTTCTAGCAGAAAAAGCCACATGTAAGTGGAAAAGGCCATATTTCAGGGGTAAAACAGGGATTCTTTGGGAGATAAAACCATATTGAAGGGGAAAAGCCCCCGGTGTAATGGGAAAAACAGGGATTTCTGTGAGCAAACCCCAGATTTCAGGGGAAGAACCCCAGATTTAATGGAAAAGCAGGGATTTCTGGCAGAAGAAGCCATATTTAAGGGCAAAATCTGCAGATTTCAGGGGAAAAACAGGGATTTCTGTGAGAAAAGGCCAGATTTAGTGGAAAAGCAGTTATTTTGGGGAGAAAAAGCCATATTTAAGGGGAAAAGCCCCAGATGTAATGGGAAAAGCAGGGATTTCTGGCAGAAGAAGCCATATTTAATGGAAAAGCAGGGCTTCCTAGTAGAAAAAGCCATATTTCAGGGGAAAACCTGCAGCTTGAAGGAGAAAAACAGGGTTTTCTGTCAGAAAAAGCCATATTTAAGGGGAAAAACCCCAGATTTAATGGGAATAACAGGGATTTCTAGGAGGACAAGCCATATTTAAGGGGAAAAACCCCAGGTTTAATAGGAAAACAGGGATTTCTAGCAGAAAAAGCCACATGTAAGTGGAAAAGGCCATATTTCAGGGGTAAAACAGGGATTCTTTGGGAGATAAAACCATATTGAAGGGGAAAAGCCCCCGGTGTAATGGGAAAAACAGGGATTTCTGTGAGCAAACCCCCGATTTAAGGGGAAGAACCCCAGATTTACTGGGAAAAGCAGGGATTTCTGGCAGAAGAAGCCATATTTAAGGGCAAAAACTGCAGATTTCAGGGGAAAAACAGGGATTTCTGGGAGAAAAGCCAGATTTAGTGGAAAAGCAGTATTTTGGGGAGAAAAGCCATATTTAAGGGGAAAAGCCCCAGATGTAATGGGAAAAGCAGGGATTTCTGTGAGAAAAAGCCATATTTCAGGGGAAAAACCCCAGATTTAATAGGAAATAAGGGATTTCTAGCAGAAAATGCCATATTGAATGGAAAAGCAGGGATTCCTAGTAGAAAAAGCCATATTTCAGGGGAAAACCTGCAGCTTGAAGGAGAAAAGCCAGGGATTTCTGTCAGAAAAAGCCATATTTAAGGGGAAAAACCCCAGATTTAATGGGAATAACAGCGATTTCTGTGAGAAAACGCCAGATTTAATGGGAAAAGCAGGGATTTCTAGGAGGAAAAGCCATATTTAAGGTGAAAAACAGGGATTTCTAGGGGAAAAAGCCATATTTAATGGGGAAAACCCCATATTTAAGGGGAAAAACCTGGATTTCTGGCAGAAAAAGCCACGTTTAATGGGAAGAACCCCCGATTTAAGGGGCAAAACAGGGATTTCTCGGAGGAAAAGCCTTATTTTAGGGTAAAAACTGCAGATTTAAGGGTCAGAACAGGTATTTCTGTGAGAACACCCCAGATTTCAGGGGAAAACCCCCAGATTTAATAGAAAACCAGGGATTTCTGTGAGAAAAGCCCAGATTTAAGGGCAAAACCAGGGATTTCTGTGAGAAAAGCCCAGATTTAAGGGCAAAAACAGGGATTTCTAGGAGGAAATGCCATATTTAAGGGCAAAAACAGCAGATTCAGGGGGAAAAGCAGGGATTTCTGTGAGCAAACCCCAGATTTAAGGGGCAAAACGGGGATTTCTAGGAGGAAACGCCATATGTACTGGTAAAAACCTAAGGTTTAAGAGTAAAACCGAGGATTTCTGGCAGAAAAATCTATACTTAATGGGAAAAAGCCCAGATTGAAAGAGAAAACCAGGGATTTCTAGCAGGAAAAGCTGTATTTAAGGGGAAATAAACCCAGATTTAAAGGGGAAAACAGGGATTTCTGTCAGAAAAAGCCATACTTAAGGGGAAAAACCCCATATTTAAGGTAGAAAACAGGGATTTCTGTGAGAAAAGCCCAGATGTAATGGGAAAAACAAGGATTTCTAGCAGAAAAAGCCATATGTAAGTGGAAAAGGCCATATTTCAGGGGTAAAACAGGGATTCTTTGGGAGATAAAACCATATTGAAGGGGAAAAGCCCCCGGTGTAATGGGAAAAACAGGGATTTCTGTGAGCAAACCCCAGATTTCAGGGGAAGAACCCCAGATTTAATGGAAAAGCAGGGATTTCTGGCAGAAGAAGCCATATTTAAGGGCAAAATCTGCAGATTTCAGGGGAAAAACAGGGATTTCTGTGAGAAAAGGCCACATTTCAGGGGAAAAACCCCAGATTTAATAGGAAATAAGGGATTTCTAGCAGAAAATGCCATATTTAATGGAAAAGCAGGGCTTCCTAGTAGAAAAAGCCATATTTCAGGGGAAAACCTGCAGCTTGAAGGAGAAAAGCCAGGGATTTCTGTCAGAAAAAGCCATATTTAAGAGGAAAAACCCCAGATTTAATGGGAATAACAGCGATTTCTGTGAGAAAACGCCAGATTTAATGGGAAAAGCAGGGATTTCTAGGAGGAAAAGCCATATTTAAGGTGAAAAACAGGGATTTCTAGGGGAAAAAGCCATATTTAATGGGGAAAACCCCATATTGAAGGGGAAAAACATGGATTTCTGGCAGAAAAAGCCATGTTTAACGGGAAGAACCCCCGATTTAAGGGGCAAAACAGGGATTTCTCGGAGGAAAAGCCTTATTTTAGGGTAAAAACTGCAGATTTAAGGGTCAGAACAGGTATTTCTGTGAGAACACCCCAGATTTCAGGGGAAAACCCCCAGATTTAATAGAAAACCAGGGATTTCTGTGAGAAAAGCCCAGATTTAAGGGCAAAAACAGGGATTTCTAGGAGGAAATGCCATATTTAAGGGCAAAAACAGCAGATTTAAGGGGAAAAGCAGGGATTTCTGTGAGCAAACCCCAGATTTAAGGGGCAAAACGGGGATTTCTAGGAGGAAACGCCATATGTACTGGTAAAAACCTAAGGTTTAAGAGTAAAACCGAGGATTTCTGGCAGAAAAATCTATACTTAATGGGAAAAAGCCCAGATTGAAAGAGAAAACCAGGGATTTCTAGCAGGAAAAGCTGTATTTAAGGGGAAATAAACCCAGATTTAAAGGGGAAAACAGGGATTTCTGTCAGAAAAAGCCATACTTAAGGGGAAAAACCCCATATTTAAGGTAAAAAACAGGGATTTCTGTGAGAAAAGCCCAGATGTAATGGGAAAAACAAGGATTTCTAGCAGAAAAAGCCACATGTAAGTGGAAAAGGCCATATTTCAGGGGTAAAACAGGGATTCTTTGGGAGATAAAACCATATTGAAGGGGAAAAGCCCCCGGTGTAATGGGAAAAACAGGGATTTCTGTGAGCAAACCCCAGATTTCAGGGGAAGAACCCCAGATTTAATGGAAAAGCAGGGATTTCTGGCAGAAGAAGCCATATTTAAGGGCAAAATCTGCAGATTTCAGGGGAAAAACAGGGATTTCTGTGAGAAAAGGCCACATTTCAGGGGAAAAGCCCCAGATTTAATAGGAAATAAGGGATTTCTAGCAGAAAATGCCATATTTAATGGAAAAGCAGGGCTTCCTAGTAGAAAAAGCCATATTTCAGGGGAAAACCTGCAGATTGAAGGAGAAAAACAGGGTTTTCTGTCAGAAAAAGCCATATTTAAGTGCAAAATCTGCAGATTTCAGGGGAAAAACAGGGATTTCTGGGAGAAAAGCCCAGATTTAGTGGAAAAGCAGTCATTTTGGGGAGAAAATGCCATATTTAAGGGGAAAAGCCCCAGATGTAATGGGAAAAGCAGGGATTTCTGTGAGAAAAAGCCGTATTTCAGGGGAAAAACCCCAGATTTAATAGGAAATAAGGGATTTCTAGCAGAAAATGCCATATTGAATGGAAAAGCAGGGAGTCCTAGTAGAAAAAGCCATATTTCAGGGGAAAACCTGCAGCTTGAAGGAGAAAAGCCAGGGATTTCTGTCAGAAAAAGCCATATTTAAGAGGAAAAACCCCAGATTTAATGGGAATAACAGGGATTTCTGTGAGGAAAACCCCAGATTTAATGGGAAAAACAGGGATTTCTAGGAGGAAAAGCCATATTTAAGGTGAAAAACAGGGATTTCTAGGGGAAAAAGCCATATTTAATGGGGAAAACCCCATATTGAAGGGGAAAAACCTGGATTTCTGGCAGAAAAAGCCATGTTTAACGGGAAGAACCCCCGATTTAAGGGGCAAAACAGGGATTTCTCGGAGGAAAAGCCTTATTTTAGGGTAAAAACTGCAGATTTAAGGGTCAGAACAGGTATTTCTGTGAGAACACCCCAGATTTCAGGGGAAAACCCCCAGATTTAATAGAAAACCAGGGATTTCTGTGAGAAAAGCCCAGATTTAAGGGCAAAACCAGGGATTTCTGTGAGAAAAGCCCAGATGTAATGGGAAAAACAAGGATTTCTAGCAGAAAAAGCCATATGTAAGTGGAAAACGCCATATTTCAGGGGTAAAACAGGGATTCTTTGGGAGATAAAACCATATTGAAGGGGAAAAGCCCCCGGTGTAATGGGAAAAACAGGGATTTCTGTGAGCAAACCCCAGATTTCAGGGGAAGAACCCCAGATTTAATGGAAAAGCAGGGATTTCTGGCAGAAGAAGCCATATTTAAGGGCAAAAACTGCAGATTTCAGGGGAAAAACAGGGATTTCTGTGAGAAAAGGCCATATTTCAGGGGAAAAACAGTTATTTTGGGGAGAAAAAGCCATATTTCAGGGGAAAAGCCCCAGATGTAATGGGAAAAGCAGGGATTTCTGGCAGAAGAAGCCATATTTCAGGTGAAAAACCCCAGATTTAAGGGGAAAACATGGATTTCTGGGTGGAAAAGCCATATTTTAGGGTAAAAACTCCAGATTTAAGGGTCAGAACAGGTATTTCTGTGAGAACACCCCAGATTTCAGGGGAAAACCCCCAGATTTAAAGGAAAACCAGGGATTTCTGTGAGAAAATGCCATATTTAAGGGCACAAACTGCAGATTGAAGGGGAAAAACAGGGATTTCTGTGAGAAAAAGCCATATTTCAGGGGAAAAACCCCAGATTTAATAGGAAATAAGGGATTTCTAGCAGAAAATGCCATATTTAATGAAAAAGCAGGGATTCCTAGTAGAAAAAGCCATATTTCAGGGGAAAACCTGCAGATTGAAGGAGAAAAGCCAGGGATTTCTGTCAGAAAAAGCCATATGTAAGAGGAAAAACCCCAGATTTAATGGGAATAACAGGGATTTCTGTGAGAAAACCCCAGATTTAATGGGCAAAAGAGGGATTTCTAGGAGGAAACGCCATATGTACTGGTAGAAACCTAAGGTTTAAGAGTAAAACCGAGGATTTCTGGCAGAAAAATCTATACTTAATGGGAAAAAGCCCAGACTGAAAGAGAAAACCAGGGATTTCTAGCAGGAAAAGCCGTATTTAAGGGGAAATAAACCCAGATTTAAAGGGGAAAACAGGGATTTCCAGGAGGAAAAGCCATACTTAAGGGGAAAAACCCCATATTTAAGGTAAAAAACAGGGATTTCTGTGAGAAAAGCCCAGATTTCAGGGGAAGAACCCCAGATTTAATGGAAAAGCAGGGATTTCTGGCAGAAGAATTCATATTTAAGGGCAAAATCTGCAGATTTCAGGGGAAAAACAGGGATTTCTGTGAGAAAAGCCCAGATTTCAGGGGAAGAACCCCAGATTTAATGGAAAAGCAGGGATTTCTGGCAGAAGAAGCCGTATTTAAGGGCAAAATCTGCAGATTTCAGGGGAAAAACAGGGATATTTCTGTGAGAACACCCCAGATTTCAGGGGAAAACCCCCAGATTTAAAGGAAAACCAGGGATTTCTAGGAGAAAATGCCATATTTAAGGGCAAAAACTGCAGATTTAATAGAAAAGCAGGAATTTCTGTGAGATAACCCCAGATTTAAGGGGCAAAACAGGGATTTCTAGGAGGAAAAGCGATATGTACTGGTAAAAACCTAAGGTTTAAGAGTAAAAACGAGGATTTCTGGCAGAAAAATCTATACTTAATGGGAAAAAGCCCAGATTGAAAGAGAAAACCAGGGATTTCTAGCAGGAAAAGCCGTATTTAAGGGGAAATAAACCCAGATTTAAAGGGGAAAACAGGGATTTCTGTCAGAAAAAGCCATACTGAAGGGGAAAAACCCCATATTTAAGGTCAAAAACAGGGATTTCTGTGAGATAAGCCCAGATGTAATGGGAAAAACAGGGCAATTGTCAGAAAGTTCCCTGACTGTGAATTCATTCCTGCAGGACTCGGACGGCTTGGAGTCTAAGACCTGGGAGACGGCGAAGAAACCAAAGGCAAGTGCTGCACAGCTGAGCAAGAAAGCCAAGAAGGGAAGCAAAAAGAAGCGGTGAGGGCTTGAGCAATAAGCCTCAAAGGCCAAAGGGAGCAGCGGGAATGCTTGCTGAGAGGTGCTCCAAAGGCAGCGCACTGTACGTCTGGTTTTGTGGCGTGGCCGTGCTTTCCCTTGCACGGACATTGGAGAGGAACTGAGGAAGCTGGAGGGGCTTCTGATGCGTGGCGAACAAATGGGACTTTGCCTGTGCGGGATTTCATGTCTGGCAAGAGCTGGGGACGCTGCGTTCCTTCAGGGTCCTTCAGCTCGATAGCTGTTTCAGAACGTTGATGATGAGGTGAACTTAGCGCATGCCGCTGGTCATGAGCGGTATCCAGGCTATTTTATTGCCTGTTGACGTATCTGCAAAACGCAACCCAACTCCCTTAGTTTCAAATAAAAGGGAAACAAACCTTTTAGACCTGGTGCTGCCTCTTTCAGTAGCTGGTCCAAACATGCCTGGCTTGGGCTGGCAGCGGCAGGGCGATGAAGCGGCCGGCTTCACGTCCCTCCCTGGAGATGGAGCTGCTTTTCCCGCGTTTCCATGTTGGTCTTGCCAAGCGGTGGCCTTTCAGCCAAAGCGTAACTGCCAGCGAAGCCTGTGAGCATCAGCTTGCTCTGTGAGGAGTGAGAGAAAGAAAAGGAGAGGAAGCAGCGCGCGAGGAAGAAAGGTGTCCCTGCACTCAGCCCCTTGAGCTCGTCACTCAAGCTTCCCTGGTGGCTTTTTCAGCCTTGTGTAGCACGGACTGTTCCTGCTTGGCCTGGGAAGGCCAGCTGCACCTGCGGGCAGCCGTGGCCTGCACGTCAGGCTCCCGTTGAGCCGCGAGGAGTTCAAGTGCGGGTGGGCTGGTGTGAAGAGCAGCGCTGGGAGTGGGGCAGGAGGAGAGGGCAGCGGGAGGGCTGCAGGTGAGCGCGCCTGGGGCCCAGAGCTCAGGCGTGAGGCGGGAGGGCAGCGAGCCGTGCTGCTTCAGCTGCTTCAGCTGCAATGGCTTCGAGCGCGTCATGGGCAGCGGCGCGTGTGGAGCGTCTGGGTGCTGCGAGGGCACCTTGCTGAGCCGGAGCCCGAGAGAGGAGAGAAGAGGAGAGGAGAGCAGAGCAGAGCAGAGGCCGCACGTCAAGAGTGTCTGCCTGCCGTTTTGGATTGGCGCGTCGGCGTCTTCCTCCTTCCACGAAGGAGCCTGCACGGTGCACTGGGTGCAGCGTGCTACACGGCACTGCCTTCTGCTGCCTGCCTGCCTGCGCGCCTGCCTGCTGCACTGCTGGAGAGGAGAGAGCGGATTGTGGGGCTGCGTGCAGGCAAGGAGCTGGCTGCAAAGGAGGGAAACGGAGTATTGAGGAGCGGTTAGTGCGTGTGAGGTTTGGGTGTGGATGCAGCGGGGGCCGAGTCACCTCCATCAGCTGCTGGGGGCTGGGGCCGAGCCCGGTGCGTGGGGCTGCGCTGCGGGCAGGAGGGCTGCGGGGCTGGGGCAGTGGTGTGGGTGCAGCACGTGGGGCCGTGAGAGGGCGTGCAGCAGGGAGGGCGTTGGGCCCGAGCCGCGCTCGTGTTTGTCGCAGCACAGGGGCTGCAGGGGATGGCAGGAGCGCAGGGCAGAGCGGGGAGAGGCGGGCTGTATGAAGGCCAGGGCATGAAGTCTTCCCTTGGCAGCTCCGGAGCTGCTGGGCTTTTCCCCCAAGTCTTCAGACTGCGGGCTGATAAGGCTCCGCAGCAAAGGCAGCCGGGCCATCCTGATACTTGGGGGTTAGGAAAGGGCAAAACAAATCAGAGTCTTTCAAGAGCACAAAGCAGTGAAGCACAGCACAAGCCATTTATTGCCTGCGTAGGTGATCTTCTCCAGGCACGTCCATTGGAGGTGTGCAGACTGAGTGTGGACAGAAAGCAAACGGAAGGCAGGGGAGGGAAGGGGAGGGGAGGGGAAAAAAGTAAGAAATGAAAGGAAAGAAAAAGGGAAATGTGAAGGGGAAGAGAGAAAGAGAAAAGGAAAGGAAAAGAGAAGCAAGGCAAAGAAAAGCAAGGCAAAGGAAAGCAAAAGGGGGAAAAGGGAAAAGGCAGAAAAGGAGAAGCAGCCAAGTTGCATGCCGCCGGCGCCACCCGAGGGGAATCCGGCAGCGGACCCCCCCAGCTGCCCCTCCCCGTCCTCCAGGCCCCGGGCCGCCCTCAGCAACGTGACGCCGCAGGCGGTTGGTAGGGCCGGGGCAGGAAGTGGTTCCTGGCGGCGGAGAGCACTTCCGGGGCAGCGCAGAGCACTTCCGGGGCAGCGCGGCATGGCGGCGCCGGGCCGGTGAGCGGGGCCGGGAGGAGCGGGCTGTGTGCTGGGAACGGGGTCGGGCCTCGGTGCGGGGGCATGGAGGGGCGCTCGGCGGAGGAGCTGGCGGTGCTGCCGGCACGCGGAGGCGATGCGTGCGGCGCCGGCGAGTGGTGCGGGGTCGGGGGGCGGCTTCCTCTCAGGGAAGGCCGTGCGAGTGCGGAGCCGTGTTGGTGTTTGGGGTGTGCGAAGGAGGAGGCCCCGTAGGGCCTGGCTGTAGCCAGCAAAGCCCGGGCGGGCAGTGGAGCAAGGCGCGTGGGTGCTGTGTTGGCCGGAGGGTGCGGAGCTGGCAGAAGGTTTGTGAAGATGTGCTTCCTGTGGACGTCCCTTCTTGGGCCGAGCCAGGGCTGCAGTTGTGTGTGATTGTGTTTGTTGCTTGGGAGAACTGCTGCCTTAGTAGAGTGGGGGGAGGGAGAGGGAGATTGTAAGACTGCCATCAGTCAGGAGCACGGCACGTTTCTGCCCGCTTTGCTCATGCTGTTGTGTGGGTCCCCGCGAAGCATGGGTGAGCCAGGGTGGCCCCGTGTGTGTGGCAGCATTGTGCGCGGCTGTGGAATGGAGTGAGAGTGATTGTAATGAAAATGCAGCTGGCCGTATTGATGGTAGGGAATGGTTGAATCCCCAGCCGTGAGGCGCAAGACGAGGCGCTGGATGCTAAGGTGGAAAGCGGAGCTGGTGTGTGCCAGGAGGCAGGCGTGGTGAGGTGCGCTGTGGAGCCTGCTGTTGTTGGCGCTGGGCTCGGGAGGCCCCTGAACATGGCACTGTGTGCTGCGTGTGCCAGCCGCAACAGATTGCCGTGTGGAAGAAGGGAGAGGATGAAGGAGGCCGAGGGCCCTTTTCTCGGGGCCGGCTCCTCTGTGGCCTCTTGCTTGCCGGAGAGAAGGGCTGCCCGCTGGGCACAGGGAGCGCCTTCTAGCTGCCGCCCCCTCCTCATGCTATGTGGAACGCCATTGCCAGCAGTGCGGCCGCCATTTTAGAACCTTGGCCGCGTCACAGCCGTCACCTTGGTCACCGCTGCCCCGGCCAACGCACTCGCCTCTGAGAGCTCTGGCAGCCATGTCAGCAGCAAAGAGAGCGAGGGGCGAAGCTTGCCCAATTTCCCATCGGAAGGGAGAGCTGGGGGCCCCAGTAGCGAAGAGGAGGAGGGGGGCCGCCTTGACCATCAAGCGGAGGAGGAAGGAGAAGAGAGTCCGTTTCCATCGCGCCTGGACCAGCGCTGTGACCACCTCCGTGGAGCCCATGGAGGTGGATCCACCTCCAGAGGAGCCCATGGAGGTGGATCCACCTGCAGAGGAGCCCATGGAGGTGGATCCGCCTGCGGCACAGCTGGCCTGGCACCACACCACCGTGCCAGGCCCCGCATCGGCGCCGTCCCTCCACCGCCGCTGGTCCAGGCGCTCGGCTCCTTACCCGCTGCGCGGCCCCCGCCCCCAGCATTAGCTGGGTGGCATGAGTTACCATCTGCTCCTCCTCTGGAGCCAATTCTGCGGGCCCCCAGCTCCATCTTCACCCTGTTAAGTCCCCGGCCCTGGTTTACTTGTTGATTTTAGCGTTAAGTTTAGGGTTAGTGTTAGGATTAGGTTATTGTTCATGTTGTAGTGTTAGGAGTAGGTTATTGTTCATGTTTTAGAGTTAGGCATAGGTTCCTGTTCTTTTGTTAGAGTTAGGCATAGGTTAGTGTAGTCTTTTAGTGTTAGGCATAGGTTCCTGTTCATACTTGACAGTTAGGGGTCGATTGCTGGTGTCAAGTGGCAGTGAGCAGCTCTCACTCGGTAAGCACACGCCTGATTGATGGTGCGAAGACATGAGTGCGAGTGCCGTGAGCACGGAGGCCCGATGGCATCTTGGATGCATTGAATTTCCAGCTTGTGACTTTTGTGTTGCAGACCGTCGAGGAGCAGAGTGGGAGCGGCTGCGCCATTGCGTTGGGCCTCAGGAGAACAGTGTGTGACTGTGTGTCGAGCGTCCTGCGTGGCCGTTGCCGGGTAGGTGTGCCTTCCTTTGCAGTAAGCAGTGCTTAGGCGTGAGCCCAGCTCCTCCCCCTGTGCTCAGCAGGTGGGCTTTCTGCGTGCTTTCTTGCCGTGCTTGGTGCCGTCCGGCACAGCAGCAGCAAGGCCGTGAACACGTACGTACCCAGGTAGATGCAGATGTGCAGCTGATGGCAGGAATACTGTTGTTGTTCGTGTTCATGAGACAGTGGTCGTGCGTGTGCGATCAAGCTCAGGGAGAAGCTGATTCTTGCCTGTTCAGCTCTGGCTGAAATGCAAGTTGGGCGTCCCTCCTTGTGGTTGGGTCGGAAGACCAAGGCTATCTTGAGAGCACGTCTGTGAGTCAGGCTGGGAGTTTTTGCTAGCAGGAAGTCACAGCGTCGGAGCGCACGAATGGAACGATGGCTCTCGTTTCCCCCTTGTAGAAAGCAGCCTCCTGGAGAGCAGCAGAGCAGCAGGCTGTCTGCGCTATGGCCGCTGAAGTGCATTTCTCGGCCCCTGAGACCCCTGAGCCCACGCTGATGGAGAACGTGCTGCGCTGCGGCCTCTTCTTTGGAGCCGTTTTCCAGCTTGTGTGCGTGTGGGCCACAATGCTGCCAGTTGCCAAGTGCCCAGAGACAGTAAGTAGCGCTCTGTTTGGTAGAGGTTGATAGAAATGCTGAGGAAATGGGCTGGGAGGGAAGCAGCTGGAGCCGTTGCCTACGGTAGCGCGCCGCGGCATTGCTGAGAGTGGGGCAGTTTGTTGTGCCCTTCCTTGGGCGTGCGTGCTGTTCCTGGTGGCACGCAGGGAGCCTGGAGGTGCAAGCTCATCTTATCGTCGTGCTGCTGCTGCTTCTGTGGGCTGTGAGTGGCAGGCAGGGCGTCCCCCTGTGCAGGGACTGCCTTGCAGGCAAGGCCTGTAGACTGTAGCTTACGTGGGATTTTGGGGAACAAGAGAGAGATGGAGTTTCTGTTGTGCCCTGATGTCAGGAAGGCAATGTGCAGCACTGGCAGCCAAAGCTGCCCAGTCAGGTGACTTGAGCTGCCAAAGCGAGCTGTGGGGCAATTGTCAGAAAGTTCCCTGACTGTTTGTGAATTGATTCCTGCAGGACTGGGACGGCTTGGAGTCTAAGACCTGGGAGACGGCGAAGAAACCAAAGGCAAGTGCTGCACAGCTGAGCAAGAAAGCCAAGAAGGGAAGCAAAAAGAAGCGGTGAGGGCTTGAGCGCTAAGCCTCAAAGGCCAAAGGAAGCAGCGGGAATGCTTGCTGAGAGGTGCTCCAAAGGCAGCGCACTGTACGTCTGGTTTTGTGGCGTGGCCGTGCTTTCCCTTGCACGGACATTGGAGAGGAACTGAGGAAGCTGGAGGGGCTTCTGATGCGTGGCGAACAAATGGGACTTTGCCTGTGCGGGATTTCATGTCTGGCAAGAGCTGGGGACGCTGCGTTCCTTCAGGGTCCTTCAGCTCGATAGCTGTTTCAGAACGTTGATGATGAGGTGAACTTAGCGCATGCCGCTGGTCATGAGCGGTATCCAGGCTATTTTATTGCCTGTTGACGTATCTGCAAAACGCAACCCAACTCCCTTAGTTTCAAATAAAAGGGAAACAAACCTTTTAGACCTGGTGCTGCCTCTTTCAGTAGCTGGTCCAAACATGCCCGGCTTGGGCTGGCAGCGGCAGGGCGATGAAGCGGCCGGCTTCACGTCCCTCCCTGGAGATGGAGCTGCTTTTCCCGCGTTTCCATGTTGGTCTTGCCAAGCGGTGGCCTTTCAGCCAAAGCGTAACTGCCAGCGAAGCCTGTGAGCATCAGCTTGCTCTGTGAGGAGTGAGAGAAAGAAAAGGAGAGGAAGCAGCGCGCGAGGAAGAAAGGTGTCCCTGCACTCAGCCCCTTGAGCTCGTCCCTCAAGCTTCCCTGGTGGCTTTTTCAGCCTTGTGTAGCACGGACTGTTCCTGCTTGGCCTGGGAAGGCCAGCTGCACCTGCGGGCAGCCGTGGCCTGCACGTCAGGCTCCCGTTGAGCCGCGAGGAGTTCAAGTGCGGGTGGGCTGGTGTGAAGAGCAGCGCTGGGAGTGGGGCAGGAGGAGAGGGCAGCGGGAGGGCTGCAGGTGAGCGCGCCTGGGGCCCAGAGCTCAGGCGTGAGGCGGGAGGGCAGCGAGCCGTGCTGCTTCAGCTGCTTCAGCTGCAATGGCTTCGAGCGCGTCATGGGCAGCGGCGCGTGTGGAGCGTCTGGGTGCTGCGAGGGCACCTTGCTGAGCCGGAGCCCGAGAGAGGAGAGAAGAGGAGAGGAGAGCAGAGCAGAGCAGAGGCCGCACGTCAAGAGTGTCTGCCTGCCGTTTTGGATTGGCGCGTCGGCGTCTTCCTCCTTCCACGAAGGAGCCTGCACGGTGCACTGGGTGCAGCGTGCTACACGGCACTGCCTTCTGCTGCCTGCCTGCCTGCGCGCCTGCCTGCTGCACTGCTGGAGAGGAGAGAGCGGATTGTGGGGCTGCGTGCAGCCAAGGAGCTGGCTGCAAAGGAGGGAAACGGAGTATTGAGGAGCGGTTAGTGCGTGTGAGGTTTGGGTGTGGATGCAGCGGGGGCCGAGTCACCTCCATCAGCTCCTGGGGGCTGGGGCCGAGCCCGGTGCGTGGGGCTGCGCTGCGGGCAGGAGGGCTGCGGGGCTGGGGCAGTGGTGTGGGTGCAGCACGTGGGGCCGTGAGAGGGCGTGCAGCAGGGAGGGCGTTGGGCCCGAGCCGCGCTCGTGTTTGTCGCAGCACAGGGGCTGCAGGGGATGGCAGGAGCGCAGGGCAGAGCGGGGAGAGGCGGGCTGTATGAAGGCCAGGGCATGAAGTCTTCCCTTGGCAGCTCCGGAGCTGCTGGGCTTTTCCCCCAAGTCTTCAGACTGCGGGCTGATAAGGCTCCGCAGCAAAGGCAGCCGGGCCCTCCTGATACTTGGGGGTTAGGAAAGGGCAAAACAAATCAGAGTCTTTCAAGAGCACAAAGCAGTGAAGCACAGCACAAGCCATTTATTGCCTGCGTAGGTGATCTTCTCCAGGCACGTCCGTTGGAGGTGTGCAGACTGCGTGTGGACAGAAAGCAAACGGAAGGCAGGGGAGGGGAGGGGGAGGGAAGGGGAGGGGAGGGGAGGGGAGGGGAAAAAAGTAAGAAATGAAAGGAAAGAAAAAGGGAAATGTGAAGGGGAAGAGAGAAAGAGAAAAGGAAAGGAAAAGAGAAGCAAGGCAAAGAAAAGAAAGGCAAAGGAAAGCAAAAGGGGGAAAAGGGAAAAGGCAGAAAAGGAGAAGCAGCCAAGTTGCATGCCGCCGGCGCCACCCGAGGGGAATCCGGCAGCGGACCCCCCCAGCTGCCCCTCCCCGTCCTCCAGGCCCCGGGCCGCCCTCAGCAACGTGACGCCGCAGGCGGTTGGTAGGGCCGGGGCAGGAAGTGGTTCCTGGCGGCGGAGAGCACTTCCGGGGCAGCGCAGAGCACTTCCGGGGCAGCGCGGCATGGCGGCGCCGGGCCGGTGAGCGGGGCCGGGAGGAGCGGGCTGTGTGCTGGGAACGGGGTCGGGCCTCGGTGCGGGGGCATGGAGGGGCGCTCGGCGGAGGAGCTGGCGGTGCTGCCGGCACGCGGAGGCGATGCGTGCGGCGCCGGCGAGTGGTGCGGGGTCGGGGGGCGGCTTCCTCTCAGGGAAGGCCGTGCGAGTGCGGAGCCGTGTTGGTGTTTGGGGTGTGCGAAGGAGGAGGCCCCGTAGGGCCTGGCTGTAGCCAGCAAAGCCCGGGCGGGCAGTGGAGCAAGGCGCGTGGGTGCTGTGTTGGCCGGAGGGTGCGGAGCTGGCAGAAGGTTTGTGAAGATGTGCTTCCTGTGGACGTCCCTTCTTGGGCCGAGCCAGGGCTGCAGTTGTGTGTGATTGTGTTTGTTGCTTGGGAGAACTGCTGCCTTAGTAGAGTGGGGGGAGGGAGAGGGAGATTGTAAGACTGCCATCAGTCAGGAGCACGGCACGTTTCTGCCCGCTTTGCTCATGCTGTTGTGTGGGTCCCCGCGAAGCATGGGTGAGCCAGGGTGGCCCCGTGTGTGTGGCAGCATTGTGCGCGGCTGTGGAAAGGAGTGAGAGTGATTGTAATGAAAATGCAGCTGGCCGTATTGATGGTAGGGAATGGTTGAATCCCCAGCCGTGAGGCGCAAGACGAGGCGCTGGATGCTAAGGTGGAAAGCGGAGCTGGTGTGTGCCAGGAGGCAGGCGTGGTGAGGTGCGCTGTGGAGCCTGCTGTTGTTGGCGCTGGGCTGGGGAGGCCCCTGAACATGGCGCTGTGTGCTGCGTGTGCCAGCCGCAACAGATTGCCGTGTGGAAGCAGGGAGAGGATGAAGGAGGCCGAGGGCCCTTTTCTCGGGGCCGGCTCCTCTGTGGCCTCTTGCTTGCCGGAGAGAAGGGCTGCCCGCTGGGCACAGGGAGCGCCTTCTAGCTGCCGTCCCGTGCCCTGTCCTCCAGCCCCCTCCTCATGCTATGTGGAACGCCATTGCCAGCAGTGCGGCTGCCATTTTAGAACCTTGGCCGCGTCACAGCCGTCACCTTGGTCACCGCTGCCCCGGCCAACGCACTCGCCTCTGAGAGCTCTGGCAGCCATGGCAGCAGCAAAGAGAGCGAGGGGCGAAGCTTGCCCAATTTCCCATCGGAAGGGAGAGCTGGGGGCCCCAGTAGCGAAGAGGAGGAGGGGGGCCGCCTTGACCATCAAGCGGAGGAGGAAGGAGAAGAGAGTCCGTTTCCATCGCGCCTGGACCAGCGCTGTGACCACCTCCGTGGAGCCCATGGAGGTGGATCCACCTCCAGAGGAGCCCATGGAGGTGGATCCACCTGCAGAGGAGCCCATGGAGGTGGATCCGCCTGCGGCACAGCTGGCCTGGCACCACACCACCGTGCCAGGCCCCGCATCGGCGCCGTCCCTCCACCGCCGCTGGTCCAGGCGCTCGGCTCCTTACCCGCTGCGCGGCCCCCGCCCCCAGCATTAGCTGGGTGGCATGAGTTACCATCTGCTCCTCCTCTGGAGCCAATTCTGCGGGCCCCCAGCTCCATCTTCACCCTGTTAAGTCCCCGGCCCTGGTTTACTTGTTGATTTTAGCGTTAAGTTTAGGGTTAGTGTTAGGATTAGGTTATTGTTCATGTTGTAGTGTTAGGAGTAGGTTATTGTTCATGTTTTAGAGTTAGGCATAGGTTCCTGTTCTTTTGTTAGAGTTAGGCATAGGTTAGTGTAGTCTTTTAGTGTTAGGCATAGGTTCCTGTTCATACTTGACAGTTAGGGGTCGATTGCTGGTGTCAAGTGGCAGTGAGCAGCTCTCACTCGGTAAGCACACGCCTGATTGATGGTGCGAAGACATGAGTGCGAGTGCCGTGAGCACGGAGGCCCGATGGCATCTTGGATGCATTGAATTTCCAGCTTGTGACTTTTGTGTTGCAGACCGTCGAGGAGCAGAGTGGGAGCGGCTGCGCCATTGCGTTGGGCCTCAGGAGAACAGTGTGTGACTGTGTGTCGAGCGTCCTGCGTGGCCGTTGCCGGGTAGGTGTGCCTTCCTTTGCAGTAAGCAGTGCTTAGGCGTGAGCCCAGCTCCTCCCCCTGTGCTCAGCAGGTGGGCTTTCTGCGTGCTTTCTTGCCGTGCTTGGTGCCGTCCGGCACAGCAGCAGCAAGGCCGTGAACACGTACGTACCCAGGTAGATGCAGATGTGCAGCTGATGGCAGGAATACTGTTGTTGTTCGTGTTCATGAGACAGTGGTCGTGCGTGTGCGATCAAGCTCAGGGAGAAGCTGATTCTTGCCTGTTCAGCTCTGGCTGAAATGCAAGTTGGGCGTCCCTCCTTGTGGTTGGGTCGGAAGACCAAGGCTATCTTGAGAGCACGTCTGTGAGTCAGGCTGGGAGTTTTTGCTAGCAGGAAGTCACAGCGTCGGAGCGCACGAATGGAACGATGGCTCTCGTTTCCCCCTTGTAGAAAGCAGCCTCCTGGAGAGCAGCAGAGCAGCAGGCTGTCTGCGCTATGGCCGCTGAAGTGCATTTCTCGGCCCCTGAGACCCCTGAGCCCACGCTGATGGAGAACGTGCTGCGCTGCGGCCTCTTCTTTGGAGCCGTTTTCCAGCTTGTGTGCGTGTGGGCCACAATGCTGCCAGTTGCCAAGTGCCCAGAGACAGTAAGTAGCGCTCTGTTTGGTAGAGGTTGATAGAAATGCTGAGGAAATGGGCTGGGAGGGAAGCAGCTGGAGCCGTTGCCTACGGTAGCGCGCCGCGGCATTGCTGAGAGTGGGGCAGTTTGTTGTGCCCTTCCTTGGGCGTGCGTGCTGTTCCTGGTGGCACGCAGGGAGCCTGGAGGTGCAAGCTCATCTTATCGTCGTGCTGCTGCTGCTGCTGCTGCTTCTGTGGGCTGTGAGTGGCAGGCAGGGCGTCCCCCTGTGCAGGGACTGCCTTGCAGGCAAGGCCTGTAGACTGTAGCTTACGTGGGATTTTGGGGAACAAGAGAGAGATGGAGTTTCTGTTGTGCCCTGATGTCAGGAAGGCCATGTGCAGCACTGGCAGCCAAAGCTGCCCAGTCAGGTGACTTGAGCTGCCAAAGCGAGCTGTGGGGCAATTGTCAGAAAGTTCCCTGACTGTTTGTGAATTGATTCCTGCAGGACTGGGACGGCTTGGAGTCTAAGACCTGGGAGACGGCGAAGAAACCAAAGGCAAGTGCTGCACAGCTGAGCAAGAAAGCCAAGAAGGGAAGCAAAAAGAAGCGGTGAGGGCTTGAGCGCTAAGCCTCAAAGGCCAAAGGGAGCAGCGGGAATGCTTGCTGAGAGGTGCTCCAAAGGCAGCGCACTGTACGTCTGGTTTTGTGGCGTGGCCGTGCTTTCCCTTGCACGGACATTGGAGAGGAACTGAGGAAGCTGGAGGGGCTTCTGATGCGTGGCGAACAAATGGGACTTTGCCTGTGCGGGATTTCATGTCTGGCAAGAGCTGGGGACGCTGCGTTCCTTCAGGGTCCTTCAGCTCGATAGCTGTTTCAGAACGTTGATGATGAGGTGAACTTAGCGCATGCCGCTGGTCATGAGCGGTATCCAGGCTATTTTATTGCCTGTTGACGTATCTGCAAAACGCAACCCAACTCCCTTAGTTTCAAATAAAAGGGAAACAAACCTTTTAGACCTGGTGCTGCCTCTTTCAGTAGCTGGTCCAAACATGCCCGGCTTGGGCTGGCAGCGGCAGGGCGATGAAGCGGCCGGCTTCACGTCCCTCCCTGGAGATGGAGCTGCTTTTCCCGCGTTTCCATGTTGGTCTTGCCAAGCGGTGGCCTTTCAGCCAAAGCGTAACTGCCAGCGAAGCCTGTGAGCATCAGCTTGCTCTGTGAGGAGTGAGAGAAAGAAAAGGAGAGGAAGCAGCGCGCGAGGAAGAAAGGTGTCCCTGCACTCAGCCCCTTGAGCTCGTCACTCAAGCTTCCCTGGTGGCTTTTTCAGCCTTGTGTAGCACGGACTGTTCCTGCTTGGCCTGGGAAGGCCAGCTGCACCTGCGGGCAGCCGTGGCCTGCACGTCAGGCTCCCGTTGAGCCGCGAGGAGTTCAAGTGCGGGTGGGCTGGTGTGAAGAGCAGCGCTGGGAGTGGGGCAGGAGGAGAGGGCAGCGGGAGGGCTGCAGGTGAGCGCGCCTGGGGCCCAGAGCTCAGGCGTGAGGCGGGAGGGCAGCGAGCCGTGCTGCTTCAGCTGCTTCAGCTGCAATGGCTTCGAGCGCGTCATGGGCAGCGGCGCGTGTGGAGCGTCTGGGTGCTGCGAGGGCACCTTGCTGAGCCGGAGCCCGAGAGAGGAGAGAAGAGGAGAGGAGAGCAGAGCAGAGCAGAGGCCGCACGTCAAGAGTGTCTGCCTGCCGTTTTGGATTGGCGCGTCGGCGTCTTCCTCCTTCCACGCAGGAGCCTGCACGGTGCACTGGGTGCAGCGTGCTACACGGCACTGCCTTCTGCTGCCTGCCTGCCTGCGCGCCTGCCTGCTGCACTGCTGGAGAGGAGAGAGCGGATTGTGGGGCTGCGTGCAGCCAAGGAGCTGGCTGCAAAGGAGGGAAACGGAGTATTGAGGAGCGGTTAGTGCGTGTGAGGTTTGGGTGTGGATGCAGCGGGGGCCGAGTCACCTCCATCAGCTCCTGGGGGCTGGGGCCGAGCCCGGTGCGTGGGGCTGCGCTGCGGGCAGGAGGGCTGCGGGGCTGGGGCAGTGGTGTGGGTGCAGCACGTGGGGCCGTGAGAGGGCGTGCAGCAGGGAGGGCGTTGGGCCCGAGCCGCGCTCGTGTTTGTCGCAGCACAGGGGCTGCAGGGGATGGCAGGAGCGCAGGGCAGAGCGGGGAGAGGCGGGCTGTATGAAGGCCAGGGCATGAAGTCTTCCCTTGGCAGCTCCGGAGCTGCTGGGCTTTTCCCCCAAGTCTTCAGACTGCGGGGTGATAAGGCTCCGCAGCAAAGGCAGCCGGGCCCTCCTGATACTTGGGGGTTAGGAAAGGGCAAAACAAATCAGAGTCTTTCAAGAGCACAAAGCAGTGAAGCACAGCACAAGCCATTTATTGCCTGCGTAGGTGATCTTCTCCAGGCACGTCCGTTGGAGGTGTGCAGACTGCGTGTGGACAGAAAGCAAACGGAAGGCAGGGGGGGGGAGGGGAGGGGAGGGGAGGGGAGGGGAGGGGAGGGGAGGGGAGGGGAGGGGAGGGGAGGGGAAAAAAGTAAGAAATGAAAGGAAAGAAAAAGGGAAATGTGAAGGGGAAGAGAGAAAGAGAAAAGGAAAGGAAAAGAGAAGCAAGGCAAAGAAAAGCAAAAGGGGGAAAAGGGAAAAGGCAGAAAAGGAGAAGAAGCCAAGTTGCATGCCGCCGGCGCCACCCGAGGGGAATCCGGCAGCGGACCCCCCCAGCTGCCCCTCCCCGTCCTCCAGGCCCCGGGCCGCCCTCAGCAACGTGACGCCGCAGGCGGTTGGTAGGGCCGGGGCAGGAAGTGGTTCCTGGCGGCGGAGAGCACTTCCGGGGCAGCGCAGAGCACTTCCGGGGCAGCGCGGCATGGCGGCGCCGGGCCGGTGAGCGGGGCCGGGAGGAGCGGGCTGTGTGCTGGGAACGGGGTCGGGCCTCGGTGCGGGGGCATGGAGGGGCGCTCGGCGGAGGAGCTGGCGGTGCTGCCGGCACGCGGAGGCGATGCGTGCGGCGCCGGCGAGTGGTGCGGGGTCGGGGGGCGGCTTCCTCTCAGGGAAGGCCGTGCGAGTGCGGAGCCGTGTTGGTGTTTGGGGTGTGCGAAGGAGGAGGCCCCGTAGGGCCTGGCTGTAGCCAGCAAAGCCCGGGCGGGCAGTGGAGCAAGGCGCGTGGGTGCTGTGTTGGCCGGAGGGTGCGGAGCTGGCAGAAGGTTTGTGAAGATGTGCTTCCTGTGGACGTCCCTTCTTGGGCCGAGCCAGGGCTGCAGTTGTGTGTGATTGTGTTTGTTGCTTGGGAGAACTGCTGCCTTAGTAGAGTGGGGGGAGGGAGAGGGAGATTGTAAGACTGCCATCAGTCAGGAGCACGGCACGTTTCTGCCCGCTTTGCTCATGCTGTTGTGTGGGTCCCCGCGAAGCATGGGTGAGCCAGGGTGGCCCCGTGTGTGTGGCAGCATTGTGCGCGGCTGTGGAATGGAGTGAGAGTGATTGTAATGAAAATGCAGCTGGCCGTATTGATGGTAGGGAATGGTTGAATCCCCAGCCGTGAGGCGCAAGACGAGGCGCTGGATGCTAAGGTGGAAAGCGGAGCTGGTGTGTGCCAGGAGGCAGGCGTGGTGAGGTGCGCTGTGGAGCCTGCTGTTGTTGGCGCTGGGCTGGGGAGGCCCCTGAACATGGCGCTGTGTGCTGCGTGTGCCAGCCGCAACAGATTGCCGTGTGGAAGCAGGGAGAGGATGAAGGAGGCCGAGGGCCCTTTTCTCGGGGCCGGCTCCTCTGTGGCCTCTTGCTTGCCGGAGAGAAGGGCTGCCCGCTGGGCACAGGGAGCGCCTTCTAGCTGCCGTCCCGTGCCCTGTCCTCCAGCCCCCTCCTCATGCTATGTGGAACGCCATTGCCAGCAGTGCGGCTGCCATTTTAGAACCTTGGCCGCGTCACAGCCGTCACCTTGGTCACCGCTGCCCCGGCCAACGCACTCGCCTCTGAGAGCTCTGGCAGCCATGTCAGCAGCAAAGAGAGCGAGGGGCGAAGCTTGCCCAATTTCCCATCGGAAGGGAGAGCTGGGGGCCCCAGTAGCGAAGAGGAGGAGGGGGGCCGCCTTGACCATCAAGCGGAGGAGGAAGGAGAAGAGAGTCCGTTTCCATCGCGCCTGGACCAGCGCTGTGACCACCTCCGTGGAGCCCATGGAGGTGGATCCACCTCCAGAGGAGCCCATGGAGGTGGATCCACCTGCAGAGGAGCCCATGGAGGTGGATCCGCCTGCGGCACAGCTGGCCTGGCACCACACCACCGTGCCAGGCCCCGCATCGGCGCCGTCCCTCCACCGCCGCTGGTCCAGGCGCTCGGCTCCTTACCCGCTGCGCGGCCCCCGCCCCCAGCATTAGCTGGGTGGCATGAGTTACCATCTGCTCCTCCTCTGGAGCCAATTCTGCGGGCCCCCAGCTCCATCTTCACCCTGTTAAGTCCCCGGCCCTGGTTTACTTGTTGATTTTAGCGTTAAGTTTAGGGTTAGTGTTAGGATTAGGTTATTGTTCATGTTGTAGTGTTAGGAGTAGGTTATTGTTCATGTTTTAGAGTTAGGCATAGGTTCCTGTTCTTTTGTTAGAGTTAGGCATAGGTTAGTGTAGTCTTTTAGTGTTAGGCATAGGTTCCTGTTCATACTTGACAGTTAGGGGTCGATTGCTGGTGTCAAGTGGCAGTGAGCAGCTCTCACTCGGTAAGCACACGCCTGATTGATGGTGCGAAGACATGAGTGCGAGTGCCGTGAGCACGGAGGCCCGATGGCATCTTGGATGCATTGAATTTCCAGCTTGTGACTTTTGTGTTGCAGACCGTCGAGGAGCAGAGTGGGAGCGGCTGCGCCATTGCGTTGGGCCTCAGGAGAACAGTGTGTGACTGTGTGTGGAGCGTCCTGCGTGGCCGTTGCCGGGTAGGTGTGCCTTCCTTTGCAGTAAGCAGTGCTTAGGCGTGAGCCCAGCTCCTCCCCCTGTGCTCAGCAGGTGGGCTTTCTGCGTGCTTTCTTGCCGTGCTTGGTGCCGTCCGGCACAGCAGCAGCAAGGCCGTGAACACGTACGTACCCAGGTAGATGCAGATGTGCAGCTGATGGCAGGAATACTGTTGTTGTTCGTGTTCATGAGACAGTGGTCGTGCGTGTGCGATCAAGCTCAGGGAGAAGCTGATTCTTGCCTGTTCAGCTCTGGCTGAAATGCAAGTTGGGCGTCCCTCCTTGTGGTTGGGTCGGAAGACCAAGGCTATCTTGAGAGCACGTCTGTGAGTCAGGCTGGGAGTTTTTGCTAGCAGGAAGTCACAGCGTCGGAGCGCACGAATGGAACGATGGCTCTCGTTTCCCCCTTGTAGAAAGCAGCCTCCTGGAGAGCAGCAGAGCAGCAGGCTGTCTGCGCTATGGCCGCTGAAGTGCATTTCTCGGCCCCTGAGACCCCTGAGCCCACGCTGATGGAGAACGTGCTGCGCTGCGGCCTCTTCTTTGGAGCCGTTTTCCAGCTTGTGTGCGTGTGGGCCACAATGCTGCCAGTTGCCAAGTGCCCAGAGACAGTAAGTAGCGCTCTGTTTGGTAGAGGTTGATAGAAATGCTGAGGAAATGGGCTGGGAGGGAAGCAGCTGGAGCCGTTGCCTACGGTAGCGCGCCGCGGCATTGCTGAGAGTGGGGCAGTTTGTTGTGCCCTTCCTTGGGCGTGCGTGCTGTTCCTGGTGGCACGCAGGGAGCCTGGAGGTGCAAGCTCATCTTATCGTCGTGCTGCTGCTGCTGCTGCTGCTTCTGTGGGCTGTGAGTGGCAGGCAGGGCGTCCCCCTGTGCAGGGACTGCCTTGCAGGCAAGGCCTGTAGACTGTAGCTTACGTGGGATTTTGGGGAACAAGAGAGAGGTGGAGTTTCTGTTGTGCCCTGATGTCAGGAAGGCCATGTGCAGCACTGGCAGCCAAAGCTGCCCAGTCAGGTGACTTGAGCTGCCAAAGCGAGCTGTGGGGCAATTGTCAGAAAGTTCCCTGACTGTTTGTGAATTGATTCCTGCAGGACTGGGACGGCTTGGAGTCTAAGAGTTGGGAGACGGCGAAGAAACCAAAGGCAAGTGCTGCACAGCTGAGCAAGAAAGCCAAGAAGGGAAGCAAAAAGAAGCGGTGAGGGCTTGAGCGCTAAGCCTCAAAGGCCAAAGGGAGCAGCGGGAATGCTTGCTGAGAGGTGCTCCAAAGGCAGCGCACTGTACGTCTGGTTTTGTGGCGTGGCCGTGCTTTCCCTTGCACGGACATTGGAGAGGAACTGAGGAAGCTGGAGGGGCTTCTGATGCGTGGCGAACAAATGGGACTTTGCCTGTGCGGGATTTCATGTCTGGCAAGAGCTGGGGACGCTGCGTTCCTTCAGGGTCCTTCAGCTCGATAGCTGTTTCAGAACGTTGATGATGAGGTGAACTTAGCGCATGCCGCTGGTCATGAGCGGTATCCAGGCTATTTTATTGCCTGTTGACGTATCTGCAAAACGCAACCCAACTCCCTTAGTTTCAAATAAAAGGGAAACAAACCTTTTAGACCTGGTGCTGCCTCTTTCAGTAGCTGGTCCAAACATGCCCGGCTTGGGCTGGCAGCGGCAGGGCGATGAAGCGGCCGGCTTCACGTCCCTCCCTGGAGATGGAGCTGCTTTTCCCGCGTTTCCATGTTGGTCTTGCCAAGCGGTGGCCTTTCAGCCAAAGCGTAACTGCCAGCGAAGCCTGTGAGCATCAGCTTGCTCTGTGAGGAGTGAGAGAAAGAAAAGGAGAGGAAGCAGCGCGCGAGGAAGAAAGGTGTCCCTGCACTCAGCCCCTTGAGCTCGTCACTCAAGCTTCCCTGGTGGCTTTTTCAGCCTTGTGTAGCACGGACTGTTCCTGCTTGGCCTGGGAAGGCCAGCTGCACCTGCGGGCAGCCGTGGCCTGCACGTCAGGCTCCCGTTGAGCCGCGAGGAGTTCAAGTGCGGGTGGGCTGGTGTGAAGAGCAGCGCTGGGAGTGGGGCAGGAGGAGAGGGCAGCGGGAGGGCTGCAGGTGAGCGCGCCTGGGGCCCAGAGCTCAGGCGTGAGGCGGGAGGGCAGCGAGCCGTGCTGCTTCAGCTGCTTCAGCTGCAATGGCTTCGAGCGCGTCATGGGCAGCGGCGCGTGTGGAGCGTCTGGGTGCTGCGAGGGCACCTTGCTGAGCCGGAGCCCGAGAGAGGAGAGAAGAGGAGAGGAGAGCAGAGCAGAGCAGAGGCCGCACGTCAAGAGTGTCTGCCTGCCGTTTTGGATTGGCGCGTCGGCGTCTTCCTCCTTCCACGAAGGAGCCTGCACGGTGCACTGGGTGCAGCGTGCTACACGGCACTGCCTTCTGCTGCCTGCCTGCCTGCGCGCCTGCCTGCTGCACTGCTGGAGAGGAGAGAGCGGATTGTGGGGCTGCGTGCAGGCAAGGAGCTGGCTGCAAAGGAGGGAAACGGAGTATTGAGGAGCGGTTAGTGCGTGTGAGGTTTGGGTGTGGATGCAGCGGGGGCCGAGTCACCTCCATCAGCTCCTGGGGGCTGGGGCCGAGCCCGGTGCGTGGGGCTGCGCTGCGGGCAGGAGGGCTGCGGGGCTGGGGCAGTGGTGTGGGTGCAGCACGTGGGGCCGTGAGAGGGCGTGCAGCAGGGAGGGCGTTGGGCCCGAGCCGCGCTCGTGTTTGTCGCAGCACAGGGGCTGCAGGGGATGGCAGGAGCGCAGGGCAGAGCGGGGAGAGGCGGGCTGTATGAAGGCCAGGGCATGAAGTCTTCCCTTGGCAGCTCCGGAGCTGCTGGGCTTTTCCCCCAAGTCTTCAGACTGCGGGGTGATAAGGCTCCGCAGCAAAGGCAGCCGGGCCCTCCTGATACTTGGGGGTTAGGAAAGGGCAAAACAAATCAGAGTCTTTCAAGAGCACAAAGCAGTGAAGCACAGCACAAGCCATTTATTGCCTGCGTAGGTGATCTTCTCCAGGCACGTCCGTTGGAGGTGTGCAGACTGCGTGTGGACAGAAAGCAAACGGAAGGCAGGGGAGGGGAGGGGAGGGGAGGGGAAAAAAGTAAGAAATGAAAGGAAAGAAAAAGGGAAATGTGAAGGGGAAGAGAGAAAGAGAAAAGGAAAGGAAAAGAGAAGCAAGGCAAAGAAAAGCAAAAGGGGGAAAAGGGAAAAGGCAGAAAAGGAGAAGAAGCCAAGTTGCATGCCGCCGGCGCCACCCGAGGGGAATCCGGCAGCGGACCCCCCCAGCTGCCCCTCCCCGTCCTCCAGGCCCCGGGCCGCCCTCAGCAACGTGACGCCGCAGGCGGTTGGTAGGGCCGGGGCAGGAAGTGGTTCCTGGCGGCGGAGAGCACTTCCGGGGCAGCGCAGAGCACTTCCGGGGCAGCGCGGCATGGCGGCGCCGGGCCGGTGAGCGGGGCCGGGAGGAGCGGGCTGTGTGCTGGGAACGGGGTCGGGCCTCGGTGCGGGGGCATGGAGGGGCGCTCGGCGGAGGAGCTGGCGGTGCTGCCGGCACGCGGAGGCGATGCGTGCGGCGCCGGCGAGTGGTGCGGGGTCGGGGGGCGGCTTCCTCTCAGGGAAGGCCGTGCGAGTGCGGAGCCGTGTTGGTGTTTGGGGTGTGCGAAGGAGGAGGCCCCGTAGGGCCTGGCTGTAGCCAGCAAAGCCCGGGCGGGCAGTGGAGCAAGGCGCCTGGTGTGCGATCTGTCCCCCGTGTCCATCTCCTGTTTCTGTACCAACTTGCCATTGCCATCATACGGTAATGAGGCAGTAGAAATATTTGTTTACCTCTCCTGTTAAAAAAAAAAAAGAGCAACATGCTGTAGCAAACATGGATGCTTTGCTAGAGTAAGAAATAATTATATTTTGAAGTTCGTTGAAGCTCGTGGGATTTTTTTCTGTTAATGACCCTCTGCAGTCTGTTTTAAAATTAATGTAGAAATCAGGTCTTCACAGCATGGTTTGGCAGCTTGACAGAAGAATTCATCCTGTATGTATAAAAGAAGAGGTGATGTCACACTGCAGTTTTAACAGCATGAAGCTGTGAGGGGTTTGCATGGTAACGCTGCTGTCAGCAGCTGCCTTGCCCTGGCATCTGGGCAGGTCTGGGTCTTATGCGGTGACTGCAGGAAGATGAGCTTAGAAAACACACGAGTGAAGAGAAGTTTGGATTAACTCAGCATCCTTTTATTAAACAAGATAACATGCAAGCATTTCAGATGAAACGTGCAGGAATTTTGGTGTGGCAGGTGTGTGCAGGCAGTGAGCTGGAGGCTGAGCACTGAGGTCTGATGACAAGTGCTGCAGATGGCGATCTGCTCTGCCTGCACTCACACAGATCTGCATGACTTGTCTTCACCCTTAGAGGGCTTTTGAAAACTCTGACATATGTATGTTTGCAGAGCAGCCTCAACATTTATTAGCGAAAGAGATTTCTGTAAGGGGGCTTAGATTTATTTTTCCTCTGAAAAGCATCTTTAGAAATATCCTGCAATCTGCAGGAAGCCAAGGCTGAGCAGAAGAGAAAAGCACTTCCAGGTCTTCCAAACGAGACATGAATTACAGCCATTTTGAGTGTTTGTTGACCTAAACTGGACCTGAACCTCTTGATGCAGGCTGAGCAACAGCCAGAACTGAATCCAAGCTCAAGCAGAAGGGATGTTGCTGAATCCCAAAATGCTACAGTAGAATTGGAAACCAGCAGGAGCACAACTGTCCCACAGAGTTCAGGAAATTGTACGTTTTTTCCTCTTCCAAACCTGGAACTCGTGCAGTTTTGCAGCTTCTGTAGGAAAGGACCTTGTGTGAGATCCCATCTGTGCTGTAAGAAGTGTTGTTTGGGGTGGAGAGCATCACTGTTCAGAGCAACTGATCCCTTGGGCATCTTCATGGGTGCCAGATTTGGAGCCACTGACACATGTCTGCTGTTTTAAATGTCAGGCACCCACTGCATGTGCAGCTGAGTGTGGACCTGGAGGAAAGTGATTCTGCAAGACCCGATGAGCTTTGTGACCCACCTCTTTGAACAATCCCCTGCCGTGTGTTTCAGCCCAACGTGTGTGGAAGAAGTGTTCCAGAAAGTTTTCCTGCAAACTGGTGAGTTACAGGGGCAGCAGCAGGTTATGATGGGAACATTCTGAGTCTCGGGTGGGAGAAACGTGAGGTAGCTGGAAAACTGTAAGGTCAGCAACGTTCTGGGCTGTTGCTTAATAAAACCATTCATCCGGTATGGTGCTGTTATGAGAATACTGATAGCAAAGGTACATAAAATTGACACTAGCTCTTCCAGTGTGGTGATCATTATGTAATTAACAGGCTTTATTTCTCGTGGCTTTTTGCTGTTCTTGTTCTGTTGTTATCTTATAGCTACCTTTATTTCAGATATATAGCAGCGAGAATCTTTCCACTCCCTGAATGCTGTCCCATTTAGTTCCCACCATTCATTTCATCGCATCCCATAGCTGCCATTCTTCCACTGAGCTTGATTAATGCCAATTTCCCTGCAGGCATTCCCTCAGCATGAGTAAGATGATGACCATATTTCCTCTTTGTACAGGAGAGTATCGGGGCAGGGGATAAGGAGACACCTGGAATTGCTGAGGAAAAGAGTGGGGTACGTGTGAGCGGCCTCAGGAATGTGGTTGTGCTTTAATATCTTCAAGAGGAGCGTGGCAAAAATATATGTATGTCATCTGCATGTAATCAGTGTGCAGACAATACAATGTGACTGTGACCCAGCTGTGGTACCAGAACATTTCTCATTCAATGCAATTCCTACCTTAGAAACTGCCTGTTGCAGCAGTACAGCCTTTGAAATGCATCTTTCCTCTGTTCCAAACTAGGTGCCCTTGTAAAGTAACTTTTATCTGGTCAGTTTAACCTGCTTAGAGGAGCAGTATTACTGAATGCAGAAGAGATGCTGTCAGGGATCAGGCTGTTTCTAAGCTGATATCCTGGCTCCAGTGGAGGACTGTCCTTCTGAGGCAACTTTCATAACCAGTTCTTCAGCGATACTCCAAAAGCCTTCCAAGACTGCAAACTGCCTTTGCAAGCAGTTGGTGTGCTCACTAAAGCATGATAATTAGTTCTTGATCTTATATGAGATGGCTGAGCTGTAATTATGACTAACTGTCCTAAAAATTACCCAGTCCTTTTCTAAATCAAGCCGTGGAGCCAGATCTTCAGCTCTGGAAAATGGGGAGAGCTCAGTGAGCTCCTCCCAGACCCCAGCTGCAGACTTGGCTGCTCTCCTCCTCTTCATGGCCTCATTCTTGCTGCTGCTGAATCTGGGCACTGCACTGAGCTGACAGCTCTATGAGAGGATAATGCAGCCAGCTGCAGCCTGGGTAAAGAAGCATTCACTGTTACTGCAACTCAAAGCCATGTGGCTCTGTTATCACAGCCTTCATTACATTGGATGGCCCTTGTTTTTTGTCCTGTGTGGCTGTGCAGATTTCAGTAACACTTCTGCAGATAGCTGGTTTAGGAGACTCTTAGTCTGTGCATTGCTATGGAGAACAGGTTTGTAGAGTTGGTTCTCAACACAAAGACAGGAAATACCTGCA